AACGCTTGTCTTTCAAAATTTGGTCAGATATACTTGGATGTGTAGTGTCAGTGTTTGTTACTGGCATGTCATGCCTAAGTTTGCTAATCTTCCCAATGAAAAAAATCATTAAAATAGTGGGTTTTGTGATGAATGAGCCATCTGATTCAATGAATGATGGAGCTGAGTTTGCCTTTTTACCCTAAATGTCATTGAAGGTGTTTCCAAAGCTTTTTACTATCATTCTTTATGTAATATATCTTTGTTTCATAGTGTAGTTTCTTCTTTTTATTTAGTTTAGTCACATGATTTCTCAATTTGCAGTACGTTTGTCAATCGGTTGTGCAGGCAGACTTATTTGCCATTCCTTTTGCCTCATCCCTCTCAACCATAAAATGTTTCAATTCCTCATCAATCCACAGGGATTTAACAGTTTTTACAGTCATTTTCTTAATGGGTGCATGCTTATTAGTAACTGGGATAAGCAATTTCATAAATGTGTCAAGTGCAGCGTCTGGTTGCTCCTCATTACATACCACGGACCAACAAATATTATTTACATCAACATAGGAATCACTAAACTTATTGTATGACCTCTTATACACTGTATTAGGCCCAGCCTTTGGAACTTTGGTTTTCCTAGATATGGCTACTATATTGTGATCACTACATCCGATGGATTTGGATACTGCTTTCAAGCAAATTGCTGCAGCATTAGTAAAGGATGTGATGTGATCAATACATGTTGATGATTTCATTCCTGTGCCGTTTGTAACTACCCTGGTAGGTTGACTGATAACCTGAACCAGGTTGCAGGCACTGGTTACAGTTTGAAGCTTTTTCTCAAGTGGGCAGCTTGATGAAAGCCAGTCAATATTTAAAATCACCCAGAAAATATACCTCTGTTGATATCACATACATTATCAAGCATTTCAAACATGTTATCTAGATACTGACTGTTAGCACTTGGGTCCGGGGCTCCGGGGCGGGAATGGAGGAAAACTAGACTCCCTGCGGACCTGTCATCTTTTCACTCCCTCCTCTCTACATTTTCTTCCTCTGTTTCTGCTGCTAAAGCCACTTTCTACCAGTCTAAATTTCAAGCCTCTGCCTCTAACCCTAGGAAGCTCTTTGCCACCTTCTCCTCCCTGCTGAATCCTCCTCCTCCTCCCCCTCCCTCCTCCCTCTCTGTGGATGACTTTGTCAACCATTTTGAAAAGAAGGTTGACGACATCCGATCCTCAAATGACACCGCTGGTCCTGCTCATACTGCCCTACCCTATGCTTTGACTTCTTTCTCCCCTCTCTCTCCAGATGAAATCTTGCGACTTGTGATGGCCGTCCGCCCAACAACCTGCCCGCTTGACCCTATCCCCTCCTCTCTTCTCCAGACCATTTCCGAAGACCTTCTCCCTTACCTCACCTCGCAAATCAACTCATCCTTGACCGCTGGCTATGTCCCTTCCGTCTTCAAGAGGGCGAGAGTTGCACCCCTCCTCAAAAAACCTACACTTGATCTCTCCGATGTCAACAACTACAGACCAGTATCCCTTCTTTCTTTTCTCTCCAAAACTCTTGAGCGTGCCGTCTCTAGCCAACTATCCTGCTATCTCTCTCAGAATTACCTTCTTGATCCAAACCAGTCAGGTTTCAAGACTGGTCATTCAACTGAGACTGCTCTTCTCTGTGTCACGGAGGCTCTCCGCACTGCTAAAGCTAACTCTCTCTCCTCTCCTCTTATCCTTCTAGACCTACAGTGGGGGAAAAAAGTATTTGATCCCCTGCTGATTTTGTACGTTTATAACATTTCTCTATTTCTCTTCTGTGCAGGAAATGACTAAGGAAGAGAGCTGAGATTAAATAATTCCTCTCCTATGCGTTCACAGCGTGCAGGATGACTGGATGTCGCATAAAGGAAGACTTTGATTATAGCCTCCAGCTAAAACCAGATGAGCAGCTGTCCTGTGCATATTGCTCTATGATGGCATGGCGTTACATCCAACTCTGCGCTGCTGTTTGGTGAATATTGATCTCTATTCTATTGAGTTACCTGATGTTGTCACATCCATCAGAGCCCAGTGACACCAGCGTGACATCACTCTCGTCGAGTGGTGCTCTGCTTAGGACGGGTGCTCCGCAACTCAAGGTTGAGCAGAGTAATGGCGCTCTAAATCTACCATCTGGGGCATAGTTTATCTCCCCATATTCAGACAGAGGAATCTGTGCGGGACTATGTTGATGTATCAGACAGTCCTGGAATGTGGAATGTGCACTAGGCTATCTTCTAACACCAAGGGAACCACAGCAGTCACCGCAGCATAGATTGACCAAGGGAACCACAGCAGTCACCGTAGCATTGATTGACCAAGGGAACCACAGCAGTCACCGTAGCATTGATTGACCAAGGGAACCACAGCAGTCACCGTAGCATTGATTGACCAAGGGAACCACAGCAGTCACCGTAGCATTGATTGACCAAGGGAACCACAGCAGTCACCGCGTAGCATTGATTGACCAAGGGAACCACAGCAGTCACCGCAGCATAGATTGACCAAGGGAACCACAGCAGTCATCGCAGCATTGATTGACCAAGGGAACCACAGCAGTCACCGCAGCATTGATTGACCAAGGGAACCACAGCAGTCACCGTAGCATTGATTGACCAAGGGAACCACAGCAGTCATCGCAGCATTGATTGACCAAGGGAACCACAGCAGTCATCGCAGCATTGATTGACCAAGGGAACCACAGCAGTCATCGCAGCATTGATTGACCAAGGGAACCACAGCAGTCATCGCAGCATTGATTGACCAAGGGAACCACAGCAGTCATCGCAGCATTGATTGACCAAGGGAACCACAGCAGTCACCGCGTAGCATTGATTGACCAAGGGAACCACAGCAGTCACCGCAGCATAGATTCTCCTGCAACACCGATGTTGATTAAGTAACCGGAACAGACAGAGAGGAGCAGCATCCCAAATTGCACCCTATTCCCTTTACCAGGGCCCTGGTCAAAAGTAGTGCATTATATGGGGAAATGGGGCTCCATTTGGGACGCAGCCACAGAGAGAGGGAGATATGGTGGATGTTAATAACCTGCTACAGTACTGCCATCCGCTGGCATCCTTTTTGTATTGATATGACAGGCAGCATTGAGCTGATTCAGGAGGTGACCATTTGACCATTCGCACACATTGTGGCTTCCCACTCAGCACACACTGGTTGAGTCAATGTTTCCACATTATTTCAATGAAATTATGTTGAACCAACGTGGAATAGATGTTGAATTGAAGTGTTGGTTGGTTTTACCAGAACCTTTGCTTAATTCCCGAAATATGTTTAAATAAAAATACACCAAAATCCAATTACAGAGAATCTAATGAAGGCAATATCTAATGGTCTAATATTATAGCCAACTGATATCTAATTCAGTAGGCTAATTAGACTATTAGTAATTAGAGAACCGATAATAAATGCTTGAATATTGAACATGCAATATGTTCAATCTTCATGGTCTAACTGATAAAGCCTATAATAAATGTATTAAATGATACTACTTTCTGAATAACGTAAAGAAGAAACGAAGCAGAGCGGAGGGTGGTTTGCTTTGCCTTCTACCCTTCATCAAAAAGCACCAAGTCGCTGTGTACTGAAATTAGTTTACCGTGTCGCCTGTTATTGAGACACAGACAGTAGGGTTTTCTATAGCTTTAGTTGAATGATTTGATATAATAGGTTAACGCCACAGCTGTGTAACGCGAGATGATATCCTATCCTACACTCTGAATCCCAGAGTGTTTCAGGACAGCGCTCATCTCTCCTTTCCTCTCCATCACATCACGGCTCGATGGGAATTTCATGGAAGCAGTAGAAGTATAGACCGTAAAATTATAGCGGTAGCATGTATAACGGTATCTACAGCAGCCCGTGACTCACCTCCAGGCAAGAGGAGAAAGGTATAACTGTAAATACCCAACAGGAGCCGCAGACGACCCATTCCAGAGCCGGATCCCGACCCGTTCAGCCGCCGCATCGTGATGAACAGAATGTGTACCTCCGGAAGACAGAGCTGTATATTTGATATCGCTGCTATATTCCTCCTGCTTCTTCTACATCTTCACATATTGCAATCCGGACCAGCTGTGCGCGCATGACGTCATTTGGACTGCAGGTCCACCGGAGCTCCGCCCCCATCTGCAGAGATTTGACATTGCTATCATTCCGACTCTGTTCATTGGATGAACGAGCTGTCAGTCAGTCAATAGTCATGCAGAGGAACATAAATTACAATCTGAATCAGAGGTGAAGGCTTGTTGTAAGGATGGATGAAGTCATGAATAACCTAGTTGTCTAAGCGTTTTGGATAATCTTATTTGCCTCACTTATAAATTCAAGCTCAACCTTGAAGTGAAATTTTATACGGAAATCATTAATTTCAAGAGTTTTGAAAATAATGTAGTCATGAGATAGTAAGTTAAATAGTCTTAATACGAGTGAATAGCGCCGCCGTGTGGTGATGGGACTGAACTGTAACCTGTCACTGTTATAAATGACACGACGTTAATCAATCAAATGTATTTATAAAGCCGTTTTTACATCAGCAGATACAGCAGATTATACAGAAACCCAGTCTAAAAACCCCAAACATCAAGCAATGCAGATGTAGAAGCAAAGTGGCTAGGAAAAACTGGAACTTTAGAAGGTCAAGCAGGAAATGTGAAATGGCACAAGGGCACCTCATTAAGGTATAGCTGCACAAACACACAGTATTGTTGGGCATAATATACCTATTTTTTTAACAGGACAAATTTGAGGGGGCATGTGCCCCTATGTTTTAACTGTGGCTGGTGTAAAGTCTCATTGATTATAATAAAAGTCTGTTTTAACTGGTGTAATGTCTCATTGAATAACAGTGCATCTCCAGGAGTGTGATTGGTTGTTATTGAATAACAGTGCATCTCCAGGGGTGTGATTGGTTGTTATTTAATAACAGTGCATTTCCAGGGGTGTGATTGGTTGTTATTTAATAACAGTGCATTTCCAGGGGTGTGGCTCTTTGCGTGTCTTCAGTGTGTATCTCCACAGGTGAGGGCAGCAATCTTTAAAGGTCCTGATGACATCATATGACACCACACAGTAACAGTGGACCTCCCTGAGGCGGCTGCAAGCTGCAGCCAGGGAGCGCAGGGCGGAGTCTAGCTCTGGAGACGAGGTGGTCTGCAGTATGACTGTCTCAAGGGCGTGGCTGTAGCTCTGGGTGACCAGGTGTGTCTGCTGGACCAGGTCAGTAAAGGTGAGGAGTTCCAGGCGCTGCAGAGGAACGCTGGGCTGCAATACGGAGCTGAAATGATCCATGGGAAGAGTGTGGTCCAATATCAGGCTTACCTGGAACATAAGACACATATGAATACAATATAATACACATATAATACAACACAATACACACATTAATACAACATAACACACATACAGTGCATTCGGAAAGTATTCAGACCCCTTGACTTTTTCCACATTTTGTTACGTTACAGCCTTATTCTAAAATTGATTAAATCGTTTTTTTACCTCAATCTACACACAATTTTTGCAAATTTATAAAATAAAATAAAACTGAAATATCACATTTACATAAGTATTCAGACCCTTTACTCAGTACTTTGTTGAAGCACCATTGGCAGCGATTACAGCCTCAAGTCTTGAATTTACCACAGGTGGACTGTAGCTTAGTGGTTAAGAGCGTTGTGCCAGTAACCGAAAGGTCGCTGGTTCTAATCCCCGAGCCGACTAGGTGAAGAATCTGTCGATGTGCCCTTGAACAAGGCACTTAACCCTAATTGCTCCTGTAAGTCGCTCTGGATAAGAGCGTCTGCTAAATGACATAAATGTAAATGTAAATGTAATACACATATATTAATACAACATAATACACATATTAATACAACAAATTAAAACACATTTTATTTGTCAAATGCACTGAATACAACAGGTGTAGACCTTACCGTGAAATGCTTACTTACAAGCCCTTAACCAACAATGCAGTTACGAAAATAAGAGTTAAGAAAATATTTACTAAATAAACTAAAGTAACAATAATATAACAATAATGAGGCTATATACAGGGGGTACCGGTACCGAGTCAATGTGCAGGGGTACAGGTTAGTCTAGGTAATAACGAGGCTATATACAGGGGGTACCGGTACCGAGTCAATGTGCAGGGTACAGGTTAGTCTATGTAATAATGAGGCTATATACAGGGGTACCGGTACCGAGTCAATGTGGGGGGGTACAGGTTAGTCGAGGTAATAATGAGGCTATATATAGGGGGTACCGGTACCGAGTCAATGTGCAGGGGTACAGGTTAGTCGAGGTAATTGAGGTAATATGTACATGTAGGTAGGGGTAAAGTGACTATGCATAGATAATAAACAGCGAGTAGCAGATGTGTTTACATACACCTTAGCCAAATAAATTTAAACTCAGTTTTTCACAATTCCTGACATTTAATCCTAGTAAAAATTCAGTGTTTTAGGTCAGTTAGTATCACCACTTTATTTTAAGAACGTGAAATGTCAGAATAACAGTAGACAGAATTCCCAGTGGGTCAGAAGTTGACATACACTCAGTTAGTATTTGGTAGCATTGCATTTAAATTGTTTAACTTGGGTCAAACATTTTGGGTAGCCTTCCACAAGCTTCCCACAATAAGTTGGGTGAATTTTGGCCCATTCCTCGTGACAGAGCTGGTGTAACTGAGTCAGGTTTGTAGGCCTCCTTGCTCGCACACGCTTTTTCAGTTCTGCCCACAAATTTTCTATAGGATTAAGGTCAGGGCTTTGAGATGGCCACTCCAATACCTTGACTTTGTTGTCCTTAAACCATTTTGCCACAACTTTGGAAGTTTGCTTGGGGTCATTGTCCATTTGGAAGACCCATTTGCAACCAAGCTTTAACTTCCTGACTGATGTCTTGAGATGTTGCTTCAATATATCCACATAATTTTCCTTCCTCATGATGCCATCTATTTTGTGAAGTGCACCAGTCCCTCCCGCAGCAAAGCACCCCCACAGCATGATGCTGCCACCCCCGTGCTTCACAGTTGGGATTGTGTTCTTCCGCTTGCAAGCTGTCCCCTTTTTCCTCCAAACATAACGATGGTCATTATGGCCAAACAGTTCTATTTTTGTTTCATTAGACCAGAGAACATTTCTCCAAAAAGTAAGATCTTTGTCCCCATGTGCAGTTGCAAACCGTAGTCTGGCTTTTTTATGTCGGTTTTGGAACAGTGGCTTCTTCCTTGCTGAGCGGCCTTTCAGGTTATGTCGATATAGGACTCGTATTACTTTGGATATAGATACGTTTGTACCTGTTTCCTCCAGCATCTTCACTAGGTCCTTTGCTATTGTTCTGGGATTGATTTGCACTTTTCGCACCAAAGTACATTCATCTCTAGGAGACAGAACGCGTCTCCATCCAGAGCGGTATGATGGCTGCGTGGTCCCATGGTGTTTATACTTGCGTACTATTGTTTGTACAGATGAATGTGGTACCTTCAGGCGTAAAAAAATTGCTCCCAAGGATGAACCAGACTGAGGTCTTGGCTGATTTCTTTTGATTTTCCCATGATGTCAAGCAAAGAGGCACTGAGTTTGAAGGTTGGCCTTGAAATACATCCACAGGTACACCTACAATTGACTCAAATGATGTCAATTAGCATTTCAGAAGCTTCTAAAGCCATGACATCATTTTCTGGAATTTTCCAAGCTGTTTAAAGGCACAGTCAACTTAGTGTATGTAAACTACTGACCCACTGGAATTGTGATACAGTGAATTATAAGTGAAATAATCTGTCTGTAAACAATAGTTGGAAAAATTACTTGTGTCATGCACAAAGTAAATGTCTTAAACGACTTGCCAAAACTATAGTTTGTTAACAAGAAATTGGTGGAGTGGTTGAAAAACAAGTTTTAATGATTCAAACCTAAGTGTATGTAAACTTCCGACTTCAACTGTAGGTCCTGGATGGAAGCTTGGCCCCAGTGATGTACTGGGACTGTACGCACTACCCTCTGTAGCGCCTTAAGGTCGGATGCCGAGCAGCTGCCATACCAGGCGGTGATGCAACCGGTCAGGATGCTCTCAATGGTGCAGCTGTATAACTTTTTGAGGATCTGAGGACCCATACCAAATCTTTTCAGTCTCCTGAGGGGGAAAGGCGTTGTCGTGCCCTCTTCATGACTGTCTTGGTGTGTTTGGACCATGATAGTTTGTTGGTGATGTGGACCACAAGGATCTTGAAGCTCTTGACCTGTTCCACTACAGCCCCGTCGATGTGAATGGGGGCGAGTTCGGCCCGCCTTTTCCTGTAGTCCACGATCATCTCCTTTGTCTTGCTCACATTGAGGGAGAGGTTGTTGTCCTGGAACTACACTGCCAGGTCTCTGACCTCCTCCCTATAGGCTGTCTCATCGTTGTCTGTGATCAGGCCTACCACTGTTGTGTCGTCAGCAAACTTAATGATGGTGTTGGAGTCGTGCCTGGCCACGCAGTCGTGGGTAAACAGGGAGTACAGGAGGGGACTGAGCACGCACCCCTGAGGGGCCCCCGTGTTGAGGATCAGTGTGGCAGATGTGTTGTTGCCTACCCTTACCACCTGGGGGCGGCCTTCAGGAAGTCCAGGATCCAGTTGCAGACGGAGGTGTTTAGTCCCAGGGTCCTTAGCTTAGTGATGAGCTTTGTGGGCAGTATGGTGTTGAACGCTCAGCTGTAGTCAATTAACAGCATTCTCACGTAGGTGTTCCTCTTGGCCAGGTGGGAAAGGGCAGTGTGGAGTGTGAGTGAGATTGTGTCATCTGTGGATCTGTTGGGGCGGTATGTGAATTGGAGTGGGTCTAGGGTTTCCGGGATGATGGTGTTGATGTGAGCCATGACCAGCCTTTCAAAGCACTTCATGGCTACCGATGTGAGTGCTACGGGGCGGTAGTGATTTAGGCAGGTTCCCTTAGTGTTCTTGGGCACAGGGACTATGGTGGTCTGCTAGAAACATGTTGGTATTACAGTCTGTCAGGGAGAGGTTGAAAATGTCAGCGAAGACGCATGCCAGTTGGTCCGCGCATGCTCTGAGTACACGTCCTGTTGACCTGTTTAAAGGTCTTGCTCACATCGGCTACGGAGAGCGTGTTCACACAGTCGTCTGGAACAGCTGGTGCTCTCATGCATGCTTCAGTGTTGCTTGCCTCGAAGCGAGCATAAAGGCATTTAGCCCGACTGGTAGGGTCGGGTCACTGGGCAGCTCGCGGCTGGGTTTCCCTGTAGTCCGTAATTATTGTAATATTACATACATTAATACAACATAGTACACAACTATTAATACATCATAATACACTCTCCTCTGTATGGCTTTGGACAGTGAAGCTAAAATGTTAAATGTGGCTCAATATCATTTTAGATTTGAGAGCAAATGTTTTCATATGAGGCAACATCACAGAATGTCACCTTTTATTTAAGGGTATTTTCATACTAAATGAAAGCACTTTACGTATCTAGTACCCCCATTTGAAGAAGTCATAAGTATTTGGATAAAATTCCCTTATAGTGTATCAAAGTAGTCAAACGTTTAAGTATTTGGTCCCATATTCCTAGCACTCAATGACTACTCTCTGCAGTTTGTTTTGGTTGTGTTTTGGTTGTGTTTTGGCCAATAAAAACTGAAGTAATTTTCTCTCAAAGTGAGTAGATAAGATGTTTTTTGAACACTTCTAAATTAATCCTGATATGATTAACAAAAATCATGAATAAATCATGAATAATAATGCGTGAGAAAGTTACAGAGAAACATGCTAACCTCTCACCATGACCAATAACGGGAGGTTAGCATGTTGGGTGGATCTTTGTCCCTCTGTAACGTTCTCACTTTTATCATTCTCAATTCATTCAGGACTATCCGTAACCATGGTAGCATCCACATTAACGTAGACGTGTTTAGAAACATATTCTATTCTTATTTACAATATAAGTGACTCCAAAATGACACACTACAAAAAAGTGTTTTCAGAAGGGTTCTTCGGCTGACCCCATAGTAGAAACTTTTTTGGTTTCAGGAAGAAAGAACCCATTTGGGTTCTTCAAAAGGGTTCTCCTATGGGGACAGCCAAAGAACCATTTAGGTTCTAGATAGAACCTGCTTTCCAAGTGTACATTATTCACCATTCACTTTCTATTGGGCAAAACATAATCCGAAATACAACCAAAACAAGCTGTAAATGCATCCAACAAGTTTGTAGAGTCACAAGCTTGATGTAGTCATTGAGTGCTAGGAATATGGGACCAAATACAAAACGTTTGACTACTTTAATACACTATAAAGAGAATTCTGTACAATACTTATGACACCTTCAAATGGATACGGTATATAAAGTACTTTGGTAAAAAAGATATGCATGAAAATACCCTCAAATAAAAAAGTGACATTCTGTACTGTTGCCTCATATGAAACATTTGAACTCAAATCAAAAATGTAATTTTCAGCTTCACTGTCCAAATCCATACGGAGGGTGTCTATAAGAACCGCTTTAGAATCAGACTCACCTGAAATATAATACACATATTATTAGAATATAATACACATACAGTGGCTTGCGAAAGTATTCACCCCCCTTGGCATTTTTCCTATTTTGTTGCCTTACAACCTGGAATTAAATTTGATTTTTTGGGGGTTTGTATCATTTGAGTTACACAACATGCCTACCACTTTGAAGATGCAAAATCTTTTTTATTGTGAAACAAACAAGAAATAAGACAAAAAAACTGAAAGCTTGCGTGTGCATAACTGTTCAATACTTTGTAGAGCCACCTTTTGCAGCAATTACAGCTGCAAATCTCTTGGGGTATGTCTCTATAAGCTTGGCACATCTAGCCACTGGGATTTCTGCCCATTCTTCAAGGCAAAACTGCTCCAGCTCCTTCAAGTTGGATGGGTTCCGCTGGTGTACAGCAATCTTTAAGTCATACCACAGATTGGATTGAGGTCTGGGCTTTGACTAGGCCATTCCAAGACATTTAAATGTTTCCCCTTAAACCACTCGAGTGTTGCTTTAGCAGTATGCTTAGGGTCATTGTCCTGCTGGAAGGTGAACCTCTGTCCCAGTCTCAAATCTCTGGAAGACTGAAACAGGTTTCCCTCAAGAATTTCCCTGTATTTAGCGCCATCCATCATTCCTTCAATTCTGACCAGTTTCCCAGTCCCTGCCGATGAAAAACATCCCCACAGCATGATGCTGCCACCACCATGCTTCACTGTGGGGATGGTGGTCTCGGGGTGATGAGAGGTGTTGGGTTTGCACCAGACATAGCGTTTTCCTTGATGGCCAAAAAGCTCAATTTTAGTCTCATCTGACCAGAGTACCTTCTTCCATATGTTTGGGGAGTCTCCCACATGCCTTTTGGCGAACACCAAACGTGTTTGCTAATTTTCTTCTTTAAGCAATGGCTTTTTTCTGGTCACTTTTCGGTAAAGTCCAGCTCTGTGGAGTGTACGCCTTAAAGTGGTCCTATGGACAGATACTCAAATCTCTGCTGTGGAGCTTTGCAGCTCCTTCAGGGTTATCTTTGGTCTCTTTGTTGCCTCTCTGATTAATGCCCTCCTTGCCTGGTCCGTGAGTTTTGGTGGATGGCCCTCTCTTGGCAGGTTTGTTGTGGTGCCATATTCTTTCCATTTTTTAATAATGGATTTAATGGAGCTCCGTGGGATGTTCAAAGTGTCTGATATTTCTTTATAACCCAACCCTGATCTGTACTTCTCCACAACTTTGTCCCTGACCTGTTTGGAGAGCTCCTTGGTCTTCATGGTGCCGCTTGCTTGGTGGTGCTCCTTGCTTAGTGGTGTTGCAGACTCCGGGGCCTTTCAGAACAGGTGTATATACACTGAGATCATGTGACAGATCATGTGACACTTAGATTGCACACAGGTGGACTTTATTTAACAAATTATGTGACTTCTGAAGGTAATTGGTTGCACCAGATCTTATTTAGGGGCTTCATAGCAAAGGGGGTGAATACATATGCACTCACCACTTTTCCATTATTTATTTTTTAGAATTTTTTGAAACAAGTTATTTTTTTCATTTCACTTCACCAATTTGAACTATTTTGTGTATGTCCATTACATGAAATCCAAATAAAAATCCATTTAAATTACAGGTTGCAATGCAAAATAAGAAAAATGCCAAGGGGGATGGATACATTTGCAAGGCACTGTACTAATAGAATATAAAACACAACACATCACATATTGGTCTTCAAACATGGATCCTTGTCAGTAAAACGGACAGACAGCATTCCAAAGGATCATGGCTTCCCTAGCCTGGTCCCAGATCTGTTTGTCACACCACAATAACCATAGGAGTTGAAATTGTCACACCACAATAACCATAGGAGTTGACAAGCCAGCACTAACAGATGTGAGACCAGGCTACTATTGCCCTGCATGTTACATGTTTATTTTCAGATAAATTAATTATTGAAATGATCGTTTGGAGTTTCTGTTAGTCCCTTTCCTCCTCAAGGCACCAGGCTGACCTTTAACTGACCTTTAACCTCGGGTGTCTGTCCTTCAGCCCAGCCCACACGCTGTCCTCCAAAGGGGGGATGTATTTGGCAAAGCGCTCGCAGAACAGCTCCATGGCCAGGAGGGGGCAGCGTTGAGGAAGCAGCAGCTCATCCACCACCTTCGGGGACAGGCTGGAGAAGAAGAACATAGCAACAATTAGTAACTTAGAATCAAGTGAGTGGCTGGTATCTTTTTCATTTCTGATGTGATCAACTGTTGGCTTCAAGCATCCTTCATTCATTTAAACAAGAGGATAAGGCTGCGTCCCAAATGATCAGAGCCCTGGTCTAAAGTAGTGCACTACATAGGGAATAGGGTGCCATTCTATGGTCTAAAGTAGTGCACTATATAGGGAATAGGGTGCCATTCTCTGGTCTAAAGTAGTGCACTACATAGGGAATAGGGTGCCATTCTCTAGTCTAAAGTAGAGCACTATATAGGGAATAGGGTGCCATTCTCTGGTCTAAAGTAGTGCACTATATAGGGAATAGGGTGCCATTCTCTGGTCTAAAGTAGTGCACTATATAGGGAATAGGGTGCCATTCTCTGGTCTAAAGTAGTGCACTATATAGGGAATAGGGTGCCATTCTCTGGTCTAAAGTAGAGCACTATATAGGGAATAGGGTGCCATTCTCTGGTCTAAAGTAGTGCACTACATAGGGAATAGGGTGCCATTCTCTGGTCTAAAGTAGTGCACTATATAGGGAATAGGGTGCCATTCTCTGGTCTAAAGTAGTGCACTATATAGGGAATAGGGTGCCATTCTCTGGTCTAAAGTAGTGCACTATATAGGGAATAGGGTGCCATTCTCTGGTCTAAAGTAGTGCACTATATAGGGAATAGGGTGCCATTCTCTGGTCTAAAGTAGTGCACTATATAGGGAATAGGGTGCCATTCTCTGGTCTAAAGTAGAGCACTATATAGGGAATAGGGTGCCATTCTCTGGTCTAAAGTAGTGCACTACATAGGGAATAGGGTGCCATTCTCTGGTCTAAAGTAGTGCACTATATAGGGAATAGGGTGCCATTCTTTGGTCTAAAGTAGTGCACTATATAGGGAATAGGGTGCCATTCTCTGGTCTAAAGTAGTGCACTATATAGGGAATAGGGTGCCATTCTCTGGTCTAAAGTAGTGCACTATATAGGGAATAGGGTGCCATTCTCTGGTCTAAAGTAGTGCACTATATAGGGAATAGGGTGCCATTCTCTGGTCTAAAGTATTGCACTATATAGGGAATAGGGTGCCATTCTCTGGTCTAAAGTAGTGCACTGTATAGGGAATAGGGTGCCATTCTCTGGTCTAAAGTAGTGCACTATATAGGGAATAGGGTGCCATTCTCTGGTCTAAAGTAGTGCACTATATAGGGAATAGGGTGCCATTCTCTGGTCTAAAGTAGTGCACTACATAGGGAATAGGGTGCCATTCTCTGGTCTAAAGTAGTGCACTACATAGGGAATAGGGTGCCATTCTCTGGTCTAAAGTAGTGCACTGTATAGGGAATAGGGTGCCATTCTCTGGTCTAAAGTAGTGCACTACATAGGGAATAGGGTGCCATTCTCTGGTCTAAAGTAGTGCACTATGTAGGGAATAGGGTGCCATTCTCTGGTCTAAAGTAGTGCACTATGTAGGGAATAGGGTGCCATTCTCTGGTCTAAAGTAGTGCACTATATAGGGAATAGGGTGCCATTCTCTGGTCTAAAGTAGTGCACTATATAGGGAATAGGGTGCCATTCTCTGGTCTAAAGTAGTGCACTATATAGGGAATAGGGTGCCATTCTCTGGTCTAAAGTAGTGCACTATATAGGGTTATAGGGTGCCATTCTCTGGTCTAAAGTAGTGCACTATGTAGGGAATAGGGTGCCATTCTCTGGTCTAAAGTAGTGCACTACATAGGGAATAGGGTGCCATTTGGGACACAGTCTAAGAGTTGAGCACCATGGTTCTCTTCATACCTGGTATAGAACAGCCCTAGTGTGTTGAGAAGAGGACACAGCCTCAGCACTTCCACCACAGCCCCTGGCTCCACCTTACACACCAGGGTCTGATTGTTGACCAATAGACTCCTCAGGTTGGGGCTCTGCCGGGCCAAGCCCCTCACCAGGGATTGGCTGAGGGTGAAGGGCACGCCCCTCAGGTCCAGGTGGGAGAGGAAGGCTCCTCCCACGTGTTGCGGGGAGGCAGTAAGAGCAGCCTCCAGCCCTTCCTCCAGGTCGTGACCTATAGTCATACAGTGGGGAAAAAAGTATTTAGTCAGCCACCAAATGTGCAAGTTCTCCCACTTAAAAAGATGAGAGAGGCCTGTAATTTTCATCATAGGTACACGTCAACTATGACAGACAAATTGAGATTTTTTTTCCAGAAAATCACATTGTAGGATTTTTTATGAATTTACAGTGGGGGAAAAAAGTATTTAGTCAGCCACCAATTGTGCAAGTTCTCCCACTTAAAAAGATGAGAGAGGCCTGTAATTTTCATCATAGGTACACGTCAACTATGACAGACAAATTGAGATTTTTTTTCCAGAAAATCACATTGTAGGATTTTTTATGAATTTACAGTGGGGAAAAAAAGTATTTAGTCAGCCACCAATTGTGCAAGTTCTCCCACTTAAAAAGATAAGAGAGGCCTGTAATTTTCATCATAGGTACACGTCAACTATGACAGACAAATTGAGATTTTTTTTCCAGAAAATCACATTGTAGGATTTTTTATGAATTTACAGTGGGGAAAAAAAGTATTTAGTCAGCCACCAATTGTTTCTCAATACTTTGTTATATACCCTTTGTTGGCAATGACACAGGTCAGATGTTTTCTGTAAGTCTTCACAAGGTTTTCACACACTGTTGCTGGTATTTTGGCCCATCTCCTCTAGAGCAGTGATGTTTTGGGGCTATCGCTGGGCAACACGGACTTTCAACTCCCTCCAAAGATTTTCTATGGGGTTGAGATCTGGAGACTGGCTAGGCCACTCCAGGACCTTGAAATGCTTCTTACGAAGCCACTCCTTCGTTGCCCGGGCGGTGTGTTTGGGATCATTGTCATGCTGAAAGACCCAGCCACGTTTCATCTTCAATGCCCTTGCTGATGGAAGGAGGTTTTCACTCAAAATCTCACGATACATGGCCCCATTCATTCTTTCCTTTACACGGATCAGTCGTCCTGGTCCCTTTGCAGAAAAACAGCCCCAACGCATGATGTTTCCACCCCCATGCTTCACAGTAGGTATGGTGTTCTTTGGATGCAACTCAGCATTCTTTGTCCTCCAAACACGACGAGTTGAGTTTTTACCAAAAAGTTCTATTTTGGTTTCATCTGACCATATGACATTCTCCCAATCCTCTTCTGGATCATCCAAATGCACTCTAGCAAACTTCAGACGGGCCTGGACATGTACTGGCTTAAGCAGGGGGACAAGTCTGGCACTGCAGGATTTGAGTCCCTGGCGGCGTAGTGTGTTACTGATGGTAGGCTTTGTTACTTTGGTCCCAGCTCTCTGCAGGTCATTCACTAGGTCCCCCCGTGTGGTTCTGGGATTTTTGCTCTCCGTTCTTGTGATCATTTTGACCCCACGGGGTGAGATTTTGCGTGGAGCCCCAGATCGAGGGAGATTATCAGTGGTCTTGTATGTCTTCCATTTTCTAATAATTGCTCCCACAGTTGATTTCTTCAAACCAAGCTGCTTACCTGTTGCAGATTCAGTCTTCCCAGCCTGGTGCAGGTCTACAATTTTGTATCTGGTGTCCTTTGACAGCTCTTTGGTCTTGGCCATAGTGGAGGTTGGAGTGTGACTGTTTGAGGTTGTGGACAGGTGTCTTTTATACTGATAACAAGTTCAAACAGGTGCCATTAATACAGGTAACGAGTGGAGGACAGAGGAGCCTCTTAAAGAAGAAGTTACAGGTCTGTGAGAGCCAGAAATCTTGCTTTTTTGTAGGTGACCAAATACTTATTTTCCACCATAATTTGCAAATAAATTCATTAAAAATCCTACAATGTGATTTTCTGGATTTTGTTTTCTCATTTTGTCTGTCATAGTTGACGTGTACCTATGATGAAAATTACAGGCCTCTCTCATCTTTTTAAGTGGGAGAACTTGCACAATTGGTGGCTGACTAAATACTTTTTTCCCCCACTGTATTTGCAAATTATGGTGGAAAATAAGTATTTGGTCAATAACAAAAGTTTCTCAATACTTTGTTATATACCCTTTGTTGGCAATGACACAGGTCAAACGTTTTCTGTAAGTCTTCACAAGGTTTTCACACACTGTTGCTGGTATTTTGGCCCATTCCTCCATGTCATTTAGTGGTTCTAAACTCAGGTCATCAAGTACTCCCAACAGTACTCATTGTCGTTGTAGCCCCAGACAACTGTAGCCGATGTGAAATGGCTAGCTAGTTAGCCGTGTGCTAGTAGCGTTCAATCAGTGATGTCGTTCGCTCTGAGAGCTTGAAGTAGTTGTTTTTTCGTTTGCCTGTGGTGATCTAGCGGTCTAAACCGCTGCCTCCAGATCACAAGTACCGCTGCAGCACGGCTTCCAATTCAGCTATCTTATAAATAAATGTCTGTGTTCAGTTGCAGGTGGTTCTACAAACTGTCATCTACTTCCGCCTGTATCAAATAGAACCGACTAGTTCCTGCAAAGATGCTGGGAAATGCAAGATGTGCGGCAGCTAAGATTTTTATTTTTATTTTTTTTATTTCACCTTTATTTAACCAGGTAAACCAGTTGAGAACAAGTTCTCATTTACAACTGCGACCTGGCCAAGATAAAGCAAAGCAGTGCGATAAAAACAACAACACAGAGTTACATATGGGGTAAGACAAAACAAAGTCAGAAAATACAACAGAATGCTTCTACACCTGCATTACTAGCTGTTTGGGGTTTTAGGCTGGGTTTCTGTACAGCACTTCCAGATATTAGCTGATGTAAGAAGGGCTATATAAAATAAAATTGATTGAATTGATTGAAATACATATATATACAGTGTGTGCAAATTTAGCAAGTTATGGAGGTAAGGCAATAAAATAGGCTATAGTGCAAAATAATTACAATTAGTATTAACACTGGAATGATAGATGTGCAAGATATGATGTGCAAATAGAGATACTGGGGTATAAAAGAGCAAAATAAATAACAATATAGGG